CCGTTTCTTTCTTCCGGCCTAAGCAGATCCCCTCCCACTTTTTCCAGATTGATCCATCAGAAAATTAGCCCTGCGAGTGCTCCGTGCCAACTGCTGAGATAAAAGCCAGCCCTTGGCTTTCAGATGGCTCCAGGTTGCACCAACCCTTCAAAGGGAGGCACCACGGCGAACGCTGCGCTGGAGCATCACCCCAAGGGCAGGGATGCGGGCGCCCGCTGGGGACCGGCAGATGCTCAGGGCATCCACACCTCCCTCCCCTGAGCACATGGAGACCCATGACCAGACTTGCCGAATCCAGACCGTGGCCAGTGTTAGATTGCACACCCTGCATTGCTGGAACAAAGCTTTTCATCTCTCCTGCAAAGTTAAGCTCACTGAGGGAGTCAGCAGGCAGCCAGCAAGCAGCTGCTGTTTTGCCGACGGAAGGTGCGCACACACACACAAGCTACAAAAAATAAACAGAGATGCAACAAATCTCTTATGCAAAAAAACATATTATACACCGCTGATTCCACCCCCAGACCAGCACAGGGCTGAATGTAATCAAGAGTCCTTAAAGCTCAGGGTCACAAGTGACAGCTTTTATTTACAGCGCGCAGCAGCCGTCCCAGCAGGCAGATTAACTGCGGCACGGCCAAGGCTGGAGCAGAGACCGTGGCCGCTGCCGGCTCACCCGCACCCGAGGAGGCTGCGGCTGCAGGGAGAGCTGCAGGTCTCTGCAGGGTAACAACCAGCAGAAACCCCTCCTGGGCACGTTGGTGCAAACCGCCGGACATCAAAGCCCACCCTTCAGAAGAAATATTCCCTGTGCCCGGCTGCCTGCCCAGAAAGCCCAAAGCTGTGCTGAAGCACCAGGGCTGGCTTCATCCTCCTCCTCCTCCTGCAGCACCTAAGGATGCTTTGCGCCAGGAGGATGTTGGTTTGCTCCCTCTTCTTGGGGCAGCGAGAGAGGAGTGATAACTGCAACACACCTCGGAGAAAACGAAGACAAGCCGCCCTGCTCTGAACTCTGCCAGCAAAGCGCTTCCTAATGGTTTCATCCCACTGATTAACGCAGAAACCGTCTCCCCTGCTAATGCAAAGAAACTCATTAGCACCTCTTCCCTGGGAGAAAAGGCTCATCTTTAATTTTTTTCTTTTATGTTCTTCTCCTTTCAGGTCCAATTAGTACAAAAAGTCTTAACTCGCTTGACCTTGCAAAGCTCGGGACAAAGCACGGGGCTGTGAGCACCGGCGGGGCAGCCAGAGTCGAGGCAGCCCCACGGAGCCTGGCTGTCATCGGGGAGGGGGCACACGGTGGGCTCACGTGGCCCTTTGGTTTCTCAGCTTTGGCAAGACATTCCTCCCGTTAGTTAGCTGTTACGACGAGACAGAAGTACCGTTGGCTGTAGAGCTTTAATTTCTGTCGAGGTTTCTGCGGCGTTCCCAAAATTCCAGCAAAAGGCAGCTCCTTCAGTAGCCCCAAGAAAAATGGGATTCACACCCCTGAGTAATAAACCTGCTGTTTTCCAGGAGCCCCTTCTCCCTGCAATCCTAACATACAGAGACCCAGCCCCACCGCTGCCCCCAAGCAGAGGGATCTGCTGAGACACCCCAGCCCCTGGGGAAGATGAGGAGGAGGAAGACCCCGTGCCATGGCTTGGCACAGCCCCGGCCACACCGCGGCTGATGGGAGGGAACAATTAAGCCACCCGTTATCTAGCAACGGCTGGAAATGCCAAAGGTGACTCCTGCAACCGGGATGCTGGAGGCAGAGAGGACTTTGCCCCCCCAGGAGGTTTTCCCCTCTGGGAGAAGCAGCACAGTAACTCGGACAGAAGTTTCTGTCACTCCAAGCCAGCCCCCTGCTCCGAGAAAGCCCCCGCGGGAGCAGGACCCCTCGCCCCAGGGCTCTGCCTCACCTTAATGGCACTTGCAGCAGGGGGGGCTCACCCCAGCAGCGCACCCCCAGCCAAACCCTCGGCTCGGCACCCTGAACACCCTGACACTGCCCTGGCTGAAGGGGGAGGGCTGGTATGTGCCTGAGGAGCTAAAGATGCTGCCCCAGTAAACCAAATTTTCAAAGGAAGGAAAGCCGAAGGACTTGGCATCTCCAAAGCTAGAAGCCAATAGGTACCATTTTGATGCATTTTTTAATACTATGATCATCTTTTTTTCCCTAGTATCAGTGGTTTATTTTCTAAATATATTTAGATCAACATCATTCTTTGTTTAAGAGACGATGATAAACAAACACAATGGGAGAGGTTCTCCCTAACATAAAACAGTAGGAGGGAAAAAACGTAGGGGGCCATTAGGAATTGTAATGCTAGATTAATTTTAAATGGATTTCTATTCATTTACATTTGCTCAGGCCTACATAATCCATTAGCCATAGCTTTGCGCGTATCTAATGGTTTGACATGCTTGAAAATGAGCGGCTGATCCTGGAGCCCACTGGGACCAGTGGACAGACTGGGAGAGGAGGCGGAGAGCAGCTGGGTGGGCACAGGGGCTGCCCCGCAACACGGCTCCATTCCATCCCTGGGTGCTTCACAAAAACCAGCCGGCATCAAGAGGGGCAGAGACAGTCCCAAAAACAACGGCAGGAGCCGGGCAGCTCCATCGCCGCGACGTCCCCAGCCTTTACCCAGGTTCCCACAGCTCTCCCTGGCCGAGCAAGGTCGTGCGTGCACAGGAGAGCAGCTGCCGCACACCCTGGCCTTGGGGAGGTCCCCGCAATCTCCGCCACCAGCGAGGCTCAGCGATCACCGCAAACCCCACCAAAAAAGCCCGATGCACCGAAATAACGCCCTGCGCTTGCTCAGCGCCTCTTGCTTGGGTCCGAGGTGAACGCAGCAAAAACCCAGCGACCTCCTTCCCCAACCTCAACTGCCCGTGGTCGCAAACAGCCTCGCTTGCTTCAGCCAGAAAACCCGATGCCAAATTCTGGGATACAGAGAAAAGGAGTTGCGATGTGGCCGTTTTGTTATTAGATAGACATAAATTAAAACCAAAATGTGCTCTCGCAGCAGAAGCCTCCAGCGTTGCCACCCCAGAGCTTCATCTGCATCCTGATGCAAACAGTGAGAAAGGCACAATTACACAGCGCCTGCAAACAGGATTATCTTAATGGAAACGGAGATGTACAATCAAAAAACTATTTCCATGTCCCCCCCAAAATTATGAGTGCCTTACAAAGATGATAATAATGAGGTTTTGGGCATACACATGATCTTCCCCACTGTATAATCTTCCCATTTCAAACTGATGTAGCTCTAGCAGCTCTGTTACAGAAGTAAATTAACCCTAATTTGATTGCTTCTCAGTAGCAGTTGTTTCAGTGCTCTGATCAATAAGTCACAGGATTTTATGACTGCCCTTGGTATCAATCATTGCAATCAGTAATAAAACACTTTTCATTTTAAGAACACCTGAAATACCGTGTAATTACCTTTGTATAAAATCATGGACTCCAATTTACTAACTTCACCAAGCCACTGCTGCAGCCCGCAGCGTCGCTCTGCACCGAAAGCCTCTTTGCGGGAAAGAGCATCGCTTTCTTTCTAAAGGCTTTCAGAGCTGTCCCTCATCTCTTCCACTTGTCACTGTACCAGCAAGTTATTATTCACACCCTGGCGAAGTAGCAGATTACAAGAGACACCCATCTCCCAGAATTCCTCCAAGAAAGGGGCAAATCCGAGATCCTGCTGAGAAAAGGCAGTCAGGAAGATGCAACATTGGTGCGTGGCATCACCAACAGCTCTTCACCGCACCCACCCATCACCACCGCAGCACCAAAACAGGGCCAAAAACCATTGCACGGTGAGACAACGCAGCCGGTGCCCCGACGGCAGGGCAGGGAGAGCACTGCCACCGGGCACGTCCCCGGTCCCGAGGGCTGAGCCTCCCCCAGGAGCCTGTGGCACTGGCCAGACATCTTGGGGGGCGGCAAGCTCACAGTTTGGGGGGAAGCAGATGGTTGGGGAACTGGGGAGGGACTGGGAGCACCTGATCCCTGGGCCAGAGACCCAAGCCAGGCGTGCTGCCAGCTGCCGCTTTGGTAGCAAAAGCTCCCTCGCTTGCCCTTCACAGCTGCCGTAAGGTTTCTTCAATGCCATCTCTGTAAAGTCACCGTCCCTTTTGCTTTGCTGTCCCACCCCAGGGGTGCCCGCTCTGCAGCCCAGGGTGCCCACAGCAGCCCCCTTTCGCCAGGCTTTGCCCTCCCCAGCAAGATGGCACCAGGAAAATGATGCCAAGAAAAGGCTTTGAGGGCCCCGGCCAGCACTAAGACATTCCCAGCTGGCAAAGGATGCTCTGCCCACACTAGAGCATCAGAGGACACGAGCTGTCTCCCCTTCTGCCTCCCCTTCCCCACATTATCCCCTCTGTCGAGCAGGTTCCCGCTGTCCTCGCTGGTGCCACACAGCCCCGACACGCTGCCCTCGGGGCTCCCCTGGTACCAGGATGCTCCGGTTGGCACCAACAAAACAGTTACTCTCTGAAAGCTCAGAGACCCCTCGGCACTACGCATCCCCCCCGTGCCAGAGGGAGCAGGGCCACCCTGGCACCGCACCCCCACGTCAGCACCCCAAAGCTGCACTCAGGAGATGTTTCCAGGAGATTCTGGTTTATGTCAGTTTTCGTTTTCTTGTTTGGTTGTTTTTTGGTTTTTTTTTTAAAAAAAAACAAACTCAACTCCTAAAAACACTGAAACTGACTCAGGGAAATACTTTGACTGGGCAGATGCTCAGGCCTCAGCCGTTGTTCTCACACGAACCATCCCCAGGACCCAGAGCAGGGGACGTGCTCCCCCATCCTTGTGCAAAGCAGTAACGAAGAGGCCGCTGCTCTCTGATGCTGCCGCCATCAGCACCCTGAGGTGCCCCAGCTGGCGCTGACATGGGTCAGGATGACGACGTTTAAATCCTTGGAGCAATGTTTTGTCTCTCCTCTGCAAAAGCCACCATTCACCTGCCAGACCCCGTGGGCAGAGACTGAGGAGCCCCCCAGGCACTTACCCTGAAGTCGATTCCAACTGTGGAAATGAAGCTGCCGGCGAGGAAAGCGCCGTCTTTGAACCGCACCAGCAAGCAGGTTTTGCCGACCCCCGAGTCGCCCACCAGCATCACCTGCGAGGGAGGAGGGCAGGCGTTAGACACTGGGTTTCGGGAAGGAAACCCCACTGCAGCCATTACCCATCGCCAACCCAAAAGCTCCATCCAAGCCCATGAGGATCCCGTATTCTTGAGGGGGAAAAAAAGCACGTCCAAGAGGGATGTCCTCAGACCTAGGGGAGGTGGGGGGACCTACAGCAGGATTGCTCCCCACCCTGCACCACATGCGTCCCTGAGCACTGGCTGAACTCGAGACACCTTCCCCCGAGCAGCACTTAACAGATCCCCCGTGGGGACACAAACACCCCTGGAAAACCAAGAGGTGCTGTCTAGGCGAAGCAGGCTGCGACCTGACGGCTGCGGGACCCAGGCTGCCCCCATCGCACCCACAAAACACCCTGCACCCCACCACGTGCGGGGCTTCTGGGAGGGTGGCACTGCCCACGCGGAGACTTTGGGGGGGCCCCCAACCATGAGCTCACCCTGCCCTCTGCGAGCAAACTCCTTTGGCGGGACCCTCCCAGCCACCCTCCCGGTCCTCAGCGGGTGCCGAGGGAGCAGCTCCCGGTGCCGCCTGCCTCAGTTTCCCCACTCAGCAGCAGCGCTGGTTGCAGATGGGGCAGGCACCCACCCTGCCACAACAAAACCACGGCAGAGCTGAAGCAGCTCCCAAACACAGCTCCCCAAAGCCTCTGCTCAAACCGCAACCCCTTCCCAGCCCTTCTGCACCCCGGGGCCACCAACCCCGCTCCCCTCGGCAGGATGACAGCTTCCCGCCATTGAGAAATCCCAGGCCGCGCAGCCGAGCTGCATTAGCGGCTTCTCCACCTGCACCAATTTGCACAGCTTCACGCTGACATGGCAGGGTTCCCTCTCTCCCAAAAGCACTGCCATTAGCCTGTGACCAAATTTAAATGGTTTTAAGGCAGGCACTGCCTTGGGTCACACCAAACCCAGGCAGGAGCCATCAGAAGTAGTAAATGCCATCACCACTCTGCAGCTCAGCCTCCCAAGAGGCAGCAGCAGCCCCGGCCGCAGCCATAACTTGTTTTGGGGCAGGGGGGCACCGCTGGGGAGGGGAGTGGGTGGCCAGGATCCAGCCACACTGCTCCATCACCCACGGTGCAGAGCCCCACACCGGGTCTCCCATGGGAGCACCACGCACAGCTGCGCACCGAGCTCTGGCACAGCCGGGTTAGGAGAGCCAGCGAGCCCGCAAAGCCACGGGAAGGGGGAAAGAAAGAGGCATTTTTAGTACAAAATAGTAGTATTGTTTTTTTTAAAACTTTCCAGACCTCTGTTCTAGAGCAGGGTGACCCTTAAAAGCAGCTTCTCTCCACCCAGCACCACTGACACCTCACCCAGGGCATGCAATAGCACCCAGGGCCAGGCTTACGCCAAGGGCTTGGTGATCAGGATCCGGCCCCGGGCCCAGGACTTGCATTTGGCCACTGCCTCTGGAGAGCTTGGGAGCCTCAAGAGAGGGGTAAGGGAAAGAGAAAGTTTAATAAACCAGGTTTTTACTAAATACAAAGCAATTTCTCTCTCCCACTGGTTCAAAACCAGCCAGACCATTAGCAGAGGTTTTGGCTACCCAGCGCATTTGGGCTTATCTGAGACCTCGTCTGGCTCATCCCTATGCCATGGGTGTAAGCCCTAGGGAAAGCCCCAGCCCAGGCAGAGAGAGGTGAGCTGAAGGAGCCAAGGACCAGCATGAACACGGAGATGGCTCCATTTTAGGGAAGCCGTTGAACCGCTACTGCAGCTGTATCAGGACCAACCGCCTACCAAAGCAACCAAATTCACTTCTCAAACACCCCTCACCTCCTGCTCCACATCCCAAATCTTAACACCACGACTGCCACGCCGATTGCCACAGGCACCGACGCAGCGTGCTAAGGTTGGACTTGCCACAGCAAACACTGTCTTCTCCAAGCTCAATGCCCTGCGCTCGGCTACACAGATCTGTGTTGGAAATGCAGTCAGATGGGTCACGCCGAATTGCAGCCCCAGCCAAAATCGCTAAGCGAGCTCCAAGCTGGGCTTGCATCAGGTCGCATGATGGAAGGGGGGGGGTGCAAATACGTTTGATGTGTGGCTCGCTCGCCAGAATCTGAGAGAAGAAGCCATCTGAGCCCTTAAAAGAAAGCGCAAGCTGGAGACATTTCAACAGCAGCCAGAGCAGATTCGATGCGACTCGAGGAATACCGTCACCGCGCTGCACGACCGCATTTCTTACGTCGGTGAAGAGGAACCAGCAGGTTACAATAACTCAGCTTGGGCAGAAAGCCTTTTGCCATCACTTCCAAAAGTTCCGCCGAAGCAGCCCCGCTGCCGAGGGCTCTGCAGGCGCAGCCCCCCCCCCCCGCACCGAGCAGACCCGACCCCGGTGGCGGCAGCAGCGGAGGGGCGGGATGCCGCGGCTGGCAGAGGGATGCCCGCCCGCTCCTGGTCCCGGGGAACTTCTCCGGCGACCGTAAGGAAAACCGCACCCGACCCCGCATCCCACCGACCCC